CCGCTATTATAAAAAGCAACACTACTAGAAGAAGCAATAGTGTGAGAAAATGTAGACTGCTCATTTCCTAGTTCGATCGTTCATTGCCCGAGCTAATCACTACTTCCCTTTATATCTCGTCTTCCTCTCTTTCACACTCGGTCGACCTTTAATTCTGCATTGCTTGGGGATTACCTGCCATGGAGACCGAATGGCGGCCTGTGGTCAGCAGTGCCCAGATTAGTTGTGTCTCATAATTCCCCATTTCGATGTTCAAGGCCGCTGCACATCTCACCTCACTGAGCATTCTTCGTTATGCATTAGTTTCTAGTTTGCCTGCTAATTGGATAGCATCTAGAGCTTGCAAGCAGAAATTTCATGTCTTCATCTATCACATGGCCACGATCTCTGCAATAAAGGCGATTACTCACTGCTCCTTAATTATGCCTTTTTGAGCACCTTACAAGTAGGGTATTTCAGGCCGTGGAGCCCGTTTTCGGAATAGTTTGTTGCATGTTGCAGAGGCCCCGAAGTCTAGCTCATTTTGTTGGCCGCTTCTGGGAATGCCAAAGAAACGGTGGACCATAGGTTCATGGTTCGGATCTCGGTGGGGGCAAAATTTTGTCTTCCCACTATTTTTGTCTTCCTGTCTTGTGTACGAATAAATCGCAACCTTCTTTACGAACACAAGCGGGACCAGAAACATCCGAATCTTTAGGTCAAGAAACGAAAAGGTTTTCGATCGCAGAGCTCGCCATGAACCCGTGGAAATTTTTTGCCCCTTCTTGACCGTCGCAAAAACGAGCAGAAAAGGCGGACCACACATTTGCGATCCCTACATTTGTTGATTTAGCCTTTTCGGATGAGATTATTGAAGGATAGTCTTCAATGAAGTGACTCCTAGACACTCCCAGGTCACCTAAAATTTTAGCTGAACGAGAGCCTTGCTCATTAGTTTCTTTATTAGGTTTCACTATTACTGCTCCGTTTACTGAAATTCATTGAACTATCCATAAAAAGAAGTGTCAGAGACATCGGCCCACAGTTTCAGGCTGAAGAGGTCGGTGGTGACTCTTGATACTGGGCCTTTCAGATGACCTATAGAAAGCTCAAAAAAATTGCGGGGGCCAAGGAAGTGCTTTCGTGGTGGAGGTCTGCGCTAGTTCGCGGGGGAACGGTGGTAAGGTATAGGAGTGAAGCGCAAAGTTGCTTCATGACAACTCTTTTTCCTCTAACTGACTCCGACTTCCAGATAACTGCAAAAGTCCGCCTCCCAGCGATTGCCTGCGAAAAGGACGGTATGGAACGATCCATGGTCTTTGGTTTTTTGTAGGGTCCACGAGTCGATACGAAAATTAGCTGCCAAACTCGTCCCGACGCCAACTCGACTTTTTTGGCCCCCTTGTTCTCGCGGACAAGGGTTCGACAGAGGGTCCCCTTCAAAACATTTCCGATTCATTTTCGTATGCAGGATTGACGACCCTTGACATTTCTCTCCAATCCTCCAACAACGCTCTGCCCTTGCCTCCTTCGCAACCGGTGCTTTGAAGGCAGTTGGCACGATAAATCCCCAAGACGACTAGGATCAATACTCCTGGCAGGATAGAATTCCGCGACCCTGGGCAGGCGCTGCATAGCGGTTTCCCCGAGGAAGGTGCCCTTATAGGGTACCCTATCAACCCACAACTTTACGCCTCAAACGTGCCCGCCACGCCCCGTCCGCCCACAAATGGACGACCGTTCCTGACGCTCGTATTCATTCATTTGCTAAGCAAATTATGAAGCGAAGGGATTGGTATGAAGCGGCCGTGATGCTGCATGCATGGAGTACAATGCAGACCTATTCGGTAGCGGTATGGTAAGAGCGAGGGAAACTCGTCCGAAATCGATTTACAAGTCACTGAGAACGGAGGCTTTTCTTCGCAGGATTTTGACCGTTTCACTCCGTTCTTTCGCCATTTCCCCACACAGCGCCTTAAGTAGCATTTTAGCTAGCGTAGGAAACCGATCGTGCCAATTGCATTTACCAATATCAAAACGCCTAAACTCACCTTTTTCGCACTTTTTTTCCACTGTCGGAACTACTCGTGTTTCTTGTTGTTGTTCAGCGGTGTACGACAGAGTTCCTTGTCGCAACTCGAAACTTGACAGCGTTTTGACTTCGCGATGACGCCGCTCACGCGCTGTAACGCACTGTAACGCACGTCGACGCGCGCCATCGTGAAGTCTGAACGCTACATATTAGCTACTATAAATGGTCTCCATCATTTGTGCGTCTCTCTTTGTAAGACAGTGAAGAGAAGGAACGCATCGATGGTTGAGACACATACCTCTCTTTGCCCACGCTACAAACGCGGGCTCTACCTTTGAGAACCATTGCTTTCAGGAGAATGATGGACGAGTTGTATCGACGTGAAGCGCCCAGTTCTGCCCGATCCGATCTGTACGAGATGCGCTCCGTTCGAATCAGTTCGCCTAGTCTTGCTGATATTGAAATGCAGCCAGACATGTTCTTCAATGAGTTCACGCCTGTGTAAGGAAGTCTTTATTCTGGTCATGCTTATTTATGGATTAGAAAAGGTAGTGCCCACTTGCTCGACCTGCCAAGCCAACTTAGCCCAAACTAATCAAATTGTGTACCAGTCAAGTTCTATGGGGAGTCATTCGGGAGATCCACAAGTTGGCGACACGGCGAAGGAGGCGTTGGATGCGGTGTCACGTTCACCAGCATATAGTTTATTTCGCGAAAGTGCTATAATATTTTGAATCGACCCGCCAGAAAGTGGTTCCTTGTTAGTTTCTACGCGCCGTTGCAATATGGACCGCCTGAGGCTGCGTTCATACTTTGCGACAGCGTCCACCAGCGTCTCCAGGAATTAAGGGAGTATAGGTATCGATCAAGTGAACGCCAGTATCCACCAGCTCTAGGAGTAGTGAGTATGGGGTAGTAGGAGAGAGCAGACAACTGAATTAGGCGTCGTAGAATTGTGGCGTGTGTAGCCGCACTGTATTACGTATTATACACTATACCGTACATTGCATGCATAATTCTGGGCTTAATCAGTTGTGCGGTGCACACGCCGCAAGTGCACGACGTCTAATCCAACTGTTTGCTGCCCTCCTATTTTCCCATATTCTCTATTCCCTGGACGCTGGTGAACGTTGGTTGTCGCAGGTGGACGCTGGTAGACGCTGCTGTTTACTAGATTGATATCTATGATTTCCTAGTCGCTGACGCTAGAGGAAGCTCTAAAACGCTGATGGTCTTCTGGCGTCGCTGAGAAGCCGTCCGCAAAGTAATGAACGCCAGCCTCAACGACTCCCAGTAACGAGAGAGAGGGATGTGGATTGTACAGGGATAGCAGTTCTTTGGTGGTGGCACAGGTTCCCATGTTCTTCTCGACCTGACTACTATTCACCATCCCATGTAATAGCCCGCAAAGAACCAATCAGAAGAACAAAGAGTGAACCTGTTGGTAACCGAGATATTTTTGGAAAATTCTATTGGTGGTCATACCTGGATGATTAGGAGGGGGTTGCATCAGTCCTTGGGAAGATTTCGCTCGATCCACGCAGGGAAACCAGTATGCCTTCTCTGGAGATTTTCCCCAATATTGCGACAGGGGAAACAGCTGTTTTTTTTCAGTCTGACGTGTCAAATACTCTCCCCAAATTTTGGCTGTGCTCGAAATCCTATGTAGCCAACCCTTCAGGTGGTAAGAAGGCGTCCCTACCCTTGCTGGGCCGCTAGTACTCGGAAGTAGCTTGTAAAATTTTGGGGAATTTGTACGTGGCGTAGATTGGTGAGGTACGCAAATGGAACGAGGAAGTAGAGTTGGTGGGGATGCGGGGTCGTGTTCATCATTTTTCATCTCACCCATCTCGGTACAGTGTGCCCTGTAGGGAACGACATTCACCCCACTCCCACCCAGCTAGACATGGTCGCTCCCATGCGCTCTCTCAGCGAGTCATAGGAGTAATGAGCTCCCATTTTAGTGAGCTCTTAGGGGGTTTGTTCATGAACTTTCAGCGTGTTAAAGGAGGCTTTATAACAGAATGATCGTTTCAGGATGGGCAAATTCGGTGCACCAAAATGCCGTTGTACATCGTCGCTGATCTCCTTACTTGCAATGTGTATAGGTCTCGTCGTACTCACCATTGGTCTCAGTCTGTTGATCTTCTTCACCCAAGAAACACTATTTTTACCTCCGGGTGGAGTGAACCACTTCTCAGTTACTCTTTGTTTGACTCATTTGGAAACGCACGTACGCAAGTGGACCACTTATTGAATCTATTTGAATTTTTTTTACCTTCTAAATTTATGGAGCCTCGGATGGAGCTTCGGATACCAAAAATGACATACGAATGTGATTTGTGTGATGATTACAACTCGAACATGACTATTTACGGAGAAAGTGAGAAATCGCGGCAAATGCATACAGTAGCGTTTACGGTAGCGTAATGGGTTGAGCGATTTAGCGTCCATGATTACGTGAGCCCTGATAAGCTTTACTAAACTTCGAGCCCAAATATTAATTCCACATTAAATAGATATCTCCTTATGAGCCAGAAAACTTTCAGCCTCAGAATATGGAAATTATTCAAGTATTATTATAATTAGTTATAACACGTCTATGCTGATCTTCGGCCGGAAGGCAGTAGACCACTGCGTTTCTCTTGCCTCCCTTTCCATTCAGGTAGCGGGTAGAAGTAGAGCGGGATTGGCCACTGTAGGCTCTGACTCCGCCCATTGGCGGGTCAGCGTAGACTATGCCTATGAAATCGATAACCAATTCAACAACTCTTTCAGGGAATCACGTTTTCTGTGATCGGGATACTACTTCTGCTGATTGGCTGTGTCTTCTGGACATCAGAGTTTTTCTGTAATGACTGCCTTACCGATTGTTTTGTGAAGCTTCAAGAGGCACCTGTGAAGAATGCGATAAAGAGGCGAGAACAAACGATTGAGGTTGTATAATCTCGACTAACTATTACTCTTACTTCTGATAGACACACTGAGTGAGCGGAGCCTAGAAATTAATGAATTTTTTGTTTTTCTCCGAAACTGCTTATCAGTGGTGGTGCAAGCATGGAGGTACTGCCACTGAAAAATCGAGGCCATCAAGAATTGCAACGGTATTCGAACAAGTGAATCTTAAAGCTATCCAACTCCTTTCGTGCCTTCCAGCACACATTGCATTTTTGTCCTTCAGGCATTTCAGTTTCCAGTTATCTCACCTTAGCACCGATAGAGAATACTCGGGGGGGGGGCAGTATAACAGGAGCTTTAGAGGACGCTTCAGATGAGGCGATTCTTTTCAGCTTCTTGTTGATTCTTGCTACTCAGGTTCCAGAACTTGCTGTTATCCGCCTTCCCTCTCATTGTACTGTTTACGATCCGAATTTCTTGCTCGTGGCTGTAGCTTCTCTCCTCTTTCTCCGCAGGAGTCTCGGCGTAGAAAGCTATTGCCGTCCTCTAGACAGTTCCCTCCCTGGAAGCAGAATGACGGTCCCACAAATGGCGAAAGGAAGAGGTGTGCAAGTCCCGGCATTTTTCATTTCAGGTGGGGAGCGGGCAAGGTTAACCGGTGCAGTCTTGTTCGCTGCGGATGCTGGGGCGTGTCAGCGTGCTGAGCTTGGTGCGCCGCGAATCCGTATGGAGTGTCCGAGCCACAACAGCTGGTAGAGAATGGTCTGGCGGCCAAACCCAGTCCCCCTGCAGAGCGAACAGGACTGTAGCCCAGGTCATATCTTGACGGGGTGTGGCCATGGAGACTGACTCTAGAGCCAGCGGCACTAGACAGTTGTCACTTCGTTCAGCTACCAGTTAGATAGGCTGCTTTCTTCGGAATCCGAGTTCTCTCATCCGAACAAGTTTCTACGTTATTGCCTGGGTCAGTAACCGTCGACAGCCGCCGTGTTCACAATCAAGCCATCACATGGGCTTTCAGGGATATGGGGTTAAGGCGCAGCGTGCCTCGGAAGGGACCATTCACCAGCAAGGTCACGTCCTGTCGTTTTGTCGCGTCAGAGCATGACGCAGCCTAAACATTGCTCGCGCTCGCCCTTCCCAAACCACATAGCGCCGTAGGACAACACCCATGTCACTGAGTACGGTATAGTTCTTTTTCCAGCAACGCTGTAACTCATAATTTTCAGATCGGCTGCGAGTACTCGTAATGGTAGTCGACTTTCCATCAATTCACGTACTTCACTTCGTCCAGTGTCCACACAGCAACGATATTGATCACCTGTTCTTTGAATATTCAATGATTTTTCTCGTTTCTGTTACCTAATAAGACGCAGTTCGGCGACGGGGGGTGGGGGCATTTCGCCCTTTCGTTGCTTCACTAGTTTCGGTTTACAAGTCTCACTTGGTGAAACCTGTGAATTCTTGTGGAGCTGGAGCACGTCAAGCCATCATGGTAAAACCTGTCAACTCGAGAAGAGGCTGTCTAGATAGGTCGACACGTCGATGGGAAGTAGCAAAAGTGCAAAATGCCCCCCCCCCCTCCCCCCCCGTCGCCGAACTGCGCCCTTTATAATTCAGCTCAGAGTAATAAAGAGACAAACATGTGACCAAGTTGCTTACTTGAAACTCATGAGTCTTCCTCGGTTAGGTGGTGGGATGATATGCCTGGTATATGCCGATGATGACTGAGTTCCCAGCCTATTGGATCTACAAATTTGAATCAAACTCTGTCAGAGAAACCAGCCAGTTTCTTCGAACATGGGCAGGATTATGCGCTGTGGGCGGGGCTATCCAACGGGATCGACGTTGTCGAGTAGGTGGTTGTGAATGTGTTTGGAGAGTCGTATGAAACAATGTGGCATGTGTAAATGTCTATTTAGTGAACGGTGCTTCAGATCCGAAGGGGATGGAGTCAATTATCTCCTGGTTTGTCGGTTTGCCTACAGCCCATGAAAGAAATCTCGAGAAAAATTAGGGCAATTTTCCCATTTTACTGCCCCATTTTCAACCGTATGTTTGCAGAATAATTAGTCTTGTACGGTTCTCAGGTAAGAAGGGGCATTTATAAATTAAGCTACGGTGACCTAGCAGCTCAATTCATTCGCATGATCACGCCCATCTCGCAAGCCCCGCCTTACGGAATCAAGCAGAGAGCGGGCTTTCACAGCCATGCAGTAATTCAGTATTCCAGTCCACAACCCGAAGGTGGAAGGAGCGGTCGAACAACTCATATACGAGCATAAAATGGGCTAGATACCTGTCAATTTGATTGCTGAATGGAAGGGCGCAATTTCAAACTCCCTTGCTGCCCCATGCAGATGTGACATCTGTGTTTTGGAGCTAAAACTACCCCTGGGAGCAAGTTTTTAGCGGAAATGATGATTTAGGGTATGAAATGATGATTTAGGGTATTTTGGAGTCAGCAAAACACGAGCATGTCAATATATCTTTCTGCTTCGTCTGCTGTGACCGATTATTGTCCACAATTAAGTGCACGTGAAAAAAATCCAGAAAAGAAAAATGCGATTTTCTCCGCAGTTCCACAACCAATATAGTCGCTCCACTTATAACTGCAACTGCACATAGGATACCAGCTGGCTAAATCAACGCCTAACGACAGGAAGCAAGGCGGAGTCAAGAGGTCTAGAATGAGCCTATCCGCATCTGCGTTTTCCACCAATAGTAATAGATGAGGCCGGCGGCTATTGGCAGAGAAGGATTCTGCAGGGAGCCCATTCCACGCCACTCAACATCGCCAACATCAGCCCTTCGCTTGGCATCCTACGCACTGTCCGTTTCAGCTTGTCAAAAAACACTTCATATCTCGAAGATTGAGTGGGCGTGCTTACGTTGTGCCTTGAGCATGATGCGTCTCTCGTGGGAAACATCTGAGTTAGACAAGGGAATCATGAAAAATGTCCTTGAACGGGAAAAATGTCATCCAAAGCGCAGCCGCCGCACCGCTCAAATGAAGGTGCCATAGCATACCCGTGACAAAGCCAGTCAAGGAGGGCCAAGCAATTGCGCTACTTTGCTACTATGTCTTTCTCAATTGCAGAACACGTCCTGCCGTTAGAGGAAATTCCTGCAAACCCANAACCCCCCCCCCCTTGCACCTCGAAAAATTCCTTCTCTGATACGACACCCCTCGTCCTACCTACTACATTCTTCCCAAATTTTTCCAAATTCCTACCACTTTTCCACCTTTCGAGTGTGCGTCATTGAGTTTTTCCCCGAATATACTCGACTTCCCCCTCCCTTCTTCCAGAAAAACTATCATTTGTCGAGCTGCTGTAGGGGCAGGGTGAGAGGGGAGGGACATTTTTCTCAAAGGCAGATAGGACACCCCAACGTACAAGGTGCGCGCTCTACGTAGAGTATAGCCAGTCCAGGGTTTCGAAAGGACGAATAGTTGTGCCGCTGCGCGGCCTCTCACAGCCACCGCATATTTACGTCTTGGTGCGAATTACGCGCAAGTAACGCCGCTTGCGATGCCGCTTTCGCTGCATTGCTGCATAAGCGGACCAGTACATATCTTGCTTTCCTCTCCGTCTGAATTCAGTGACAACTTTATTGGCGCAGTTCGGTTTGGCATTTTTGGCAAGTGGGGGCATTTTTTGATTCCATCGGGAACTGCTGACTCCTCCTGTAAAGCTGTGCAGTTACAGGAGCGTCACTTAAACTTAAAAAGGGTCTACAGATCTCACCAGGTTGAAGGTGTAATTCAACAGGAACCAGCAGGGAGAACTAGCGAATTAAGCAAATGACCCTCCCTCTATGCCGAACTGTTCCACTTTATTTTCACTATTCTTTTCCCACGGTGCTTGGTAGAACGCTACTGCGGTCTTCGAATTGATCAATAAGGCTCAGAAAAGAAGATCACTTACATTCGAAGCATTTATGGTAACTTGTAATACTGATCGATACCAGTTATCAATGATTGCGTTTATTTGATGGCCCTATCAAGCAATGACAGAAAGCGGGGTAAAATTAGGATTGATGGGCTATAAAGACAACAGATAAGAGCAAAGTGAAGTGAAAAAGCAGAATAGATATAACAGCGATGGAAGTTTACTTCCTGAGCTGATTGCGGTAGCGGAGGTCTTGCAGTACTTCTTCCGGCGATATTCCGAGACGTTCACCAGCTCTCAGCACTTCCGATAGACGAGCTTCGATCACATGCAAAACTGAAAACACAACATGCTGAACTCAAGAAACGAAACACAACACGTACTAGGAGATCATTGTGCTCATGCATGACGTCACCAGTGAATGGGCGGAGCTCTGCGCTACTATTGGCTGCCACTTGCCGTGACCAATAGCAGCGCAGAACTCCACGTCTCCTTTTCCGTGCGCGATACAAATGGAGTCTTCGAAGACAATAGAAAGTTAGTAGCTGGCATGCAAAGTGTGCTGAAACCATGCGAATTCACATTAAAATTTTGCAAATTAAATAGAATTGCTGCGCGAGATGTTCAAGACATATTTATTATGCATTAACTATGCATTATAAATAATAATGATGCCAGCCGTATATGAACAAGGTAGATTTCGCCTTCACACCGTTGCGCGCCTAACTCGATGATTGTGTTGTTGTTGAGTTAATCGAAGAAACCTGAAAAGCTTCATAATTGGGTGATTCTGGAGACGACGTCCAGAGAAATATGAATGAGCGTTATGGGGCACCCTGGCTCCGAATAGGCTCTACAAGAATGCGTTCATACTTTGCGGCAGCGTCCACCAGCGTCTACCAGCGTCCACCAGCGACCACTAGCTTCCGAGCGTCCGGCAGCATCACGAGGGCCTAGAGCCATAGGTATCGATCTAGCGTCTGCCGGCGTCTACTAGCGTCTACCAGGGTCCATCAGCGTTCACCAGTGACCGAGTGTAGAAAGTATGAGGAAGAAGAACAGTTGGACTAGGTGTCGTGAAATCGCGCCATGTGTAACCACATCGCACAACTGCTGAAGCACAGAATTCTGCAATTTAATGTACGGTGTAGTGTGGTTATACGGTATAGCTGCACATGCTGCAATTTCGCGACGCCTAATCCAGCTGCTTGCTACTCTCCTACCTCCCCATACTCTCCCCATACTCTCTACTCTCGGTCCGCGGTGGACGCTGGCAGACGCTGGCAGACACTGGATCGATATCTATGCTTTCCTAGTCGCTGACGCTGCTGGACGCTCGGAACGCTAGTGGTCGCTGGTGGACGCTGGTAGACGCTGGTGGACGCTGCGGCAAAGTCTGAGCGCAGCCTAACTTTTTCAGCCCTTGGGACGGTGCAGAAATAAGGCTGAAGGGCAATGATGCCGTTCAGGACCCTAACACGCCATCTTCAAAGTACAGCGACACCAAGATCCCGCAGAGAAACACCTTCCCAGCGGTAGAGAACAAATCGTCAAATGCCCTTCGAGCCCTGGGCTAAGTTCCCTACGGAGATTGAGAAGTAGGCAATCGCAGACCATTGGGACGCGCTGATATTGCTCATGTTCTCACAAGTGCAGCTTTCTTGAAAGAGGAACTTTTTTGCCCTGATTCCACTTCTCTCGCTTCTTCCTCAATAAATTCCAAACAACAATTTTTTCATTAACAAGCAATTTTCTCAATCCTGTTCATATGTTAGCAGAAATAATTACCATTGAATACAAATCCCACTGGCTCGCACTTTCAAACCCTCATTTCCATTTCCGTCCAAGCAGAACCTTCGCCAGATTACAACGCGAGCTGCAACCATCCCACGCCCTTCATACCTTCAACACCAGCCAACCTAGACGAGCACTTGTAATACTTCAGAAAACCTCCACACCAATGCTCATTGAGGAAAGCCCCCGCGGGTGAGACTAAACAGACGTCACAAAAACGCTCCACTCTGTCAAAATAAAGAGGGATAGTGGCGACTCTTTTTTCCGTTACTGCACTATGCTGTACTACATTACACTATACTATATTCTACTGCGCCATCCTGCTATAAAATATGTATAGGAGCCGTGTCCTGGCTGTCTGTCTGCTCTTTTTGTTTGTTATGCCTTGTCTGCTCTGTCGTCTGTCCCTGCCCCTGGTACTGTCGTGGTCTGTTTGCGCCGTCCGGCAAATTCTCAACCTACGAGAGCCAGTTTCCGAGGCGGGTGCGTTCAAGGCGTGGTTTGGTAGCGGCGATTGGGAAAGAGGAATTCACTTAGCCACACACTGACCCTAAGCCAAGGCC